ATATAATAATATAATAAAATTTGTATTATCCAATGTTAACTTTATTCAGTTTATAAATAAGGCTTAGCATATGAATCAGTGAATAGATACCTAGTGAGAAATTTATAGCTTACAGATCCAGAACTCAACTTTTCAACTCTCTCAGGGACCTCTGTTCCACAATGCTCCCTCCCTACTCTGTTGGTACACTTGCTCCTCCTAAACACAAACTCAGGTCCTTCTGCCTCCACATATGCTTCCAATGTTTTCTTTATAACCAATCCAATTAACTTCTCTCTGTAGTATTAAACATGAAAGATCTTTCCTCCTTCAGATTCTGTCTTGGCCAGTCGACTTCTTTGGAACACCTTCTGTTTGCATCCACTGTTCTTTGGTCTCTTCCTGGAAGCTCTATTTCAATTTTTTGAACCCACTGGCAGTAGGTCAATTTATTTCCTTCTTCATTCACTACTGGGAAACATATTCCTAAATTTAAGAATTAATCCTGCCCATTACCTAGAATATTCCTGGCCTAATCATAAAGTCTCTGCATTTCTATTCATTCCACTTATCATCTATAACACTAATAAAAAAGCACTGTATATTATAATCCACACATGTTGCATGTTTATTGTGACAGCAATTCTTGAAGACAAACCCCTTGTTTCTCTTCTCTCTTCCAAAAGGCAAGAGTATCCTATATGAAGACATCAGTTCAAATCTAGGTACCTGGAGTGAACAATCAAAAATTCCCAAACTATACAACAAGAATATAATTTTGCAAGGTGTGAAATATGGTAAAAAAAAAATTTCATAATTAAAAGTCTCCATAATTAAAGGTCTAAGAAACGCTACATTAAACAAAGTTAACAGATTCATTTGGAGAACTTCTTACAACCTGTAATCTTGCCAATTGTTAATCTCCAAGGAAGAAGTTCACAAACTTTTTTTTATATATCTATTTACATTATTGTTCATTTTATAACAGTGTCTACTTCTCTCCTTCCCCTCCTGTCATCCCCATAGCCCCCCACATTCCTCCCCCCCTCCTTCTGATCCTTCTCTGTCCTCTCCCGTAGGGTCTCTCTGGTTTATACTTGTCTGTTTGTTTTTGTATTGTTTTGTTGTGTTTTGTATTGTAATAAAAATATACTGTCTTATTTGGTTCTCTTATAAGAGAACCAAAGTAAAACCATTCAACATTTTTCTTTTTCCTTCTGACTTATTTCACTGAGCATAATCCCTTCCAGCTCCATACATGCTGCTACAAATGGCATGAGTTTCTCTTTTTTGATTGCTAAATAGTATTCCATCCTAGATGTATACCACATCTTCTTGATCCAGTTGCAACAGGGTGGTCCCCAGAAGAAGGGGAAGTTCCAGTTTCACTGCCCTAACAAGAAGGAGGGTGGAATTGACCAGAGATGAGAAGGAATCTGAAGAAGGAAGAAGCAGAATGGAAAGACAGGAGACCTGAAGGAAGTACATGGAACAGTGGGAGACATATGAAGAAACCATGCTTCTTTCTTGGCCCTGGACTCAGTGAAAACAGATGTGGGTGAGAGACCCATGGGGAGGTTGACCATGACAGCTTATTGATCATATAAACTTTTCCAGGGAAGTATATTTGTAGCAGAATTGAACCTATCTGAGAAACTTTTTTGTGGAGCCTTTTGCAAATATTGAGCAGGAGGTAGGTTGTACTCATTAGTGTATATTGATTTTGATTTTGCTCTTTTCCTCCCAGATTTGTGTGGCCATTTCTGACCCTTTTCTATGGGTCTCAGCCAAAAGATATTTTAGCCTTGTGGAAGGTTTTCAGGCCTTGGTATGGGCCAATCCCTTTTGGGTAGACTTTTACCCACGAGGGGATGGATAACTTCAGGTATTTGATTTAGAAATGTATTCTTTGTCTTTTCTGTATTGTACACTCATTGCATTAAAGTTCCTCTCCATTAAAGTTCTTATGTCTTGTCTTGATGAGGCATGGATGGCAGAGGAACCTATTTAGAGCAGGCAGGTTTAGTGGTTCGGTGGTGCTCCTCTCTCCCTGCCCTGTAACACAGTCACCTAGTTTTGGGCATTTGGGTTGTTTCCAGAATTTACCTATTGTAAATATGCTGCGATAAACACAGGGGTACATGTATCTTTTTGAATTAATGTTTTTGTGTCCTTTGGGTAGATTTCTGGGAGTGGAATTGCTGGGTCATATGGTAGCTCCTCACAAACTTTGTTATAAAACTCTTTCCAATCTTCTACAGTCCACTACCAGCACCTATTTCTCCCTCTCCAGAGAAAACCGCAGAGGAAATGTTTATTAAGCAATTTTCTTTCACATTTACTTCATATCCATATGATTTCTAAGGATATGTTAATAGTATAGGTTTTATACTAGTAACCAATTGCAGCATCCCTCAATACCCCCAAAGCCATTAGAAGTGCAATATAAAAAAAAAAAAAATTTAAGGATTCACTTCAGAATAGTTTTAAATAACAAGCTCCTTTACCATTTTTAAATTATAGCACCCTTCCAACTTCTAAAAGTATGCACTCTGGTTCAGAAGGGTATAAACTCTACAATTATTTTTTTAAAAATAACAAAATCTGGCCCTCCCTGGTGGTGCAGTGGATTAAAGCACAGCACTAAGAAGTTTAAGCTACTTAGGCATGAGTTCGAGCCCTGCCTGCCCGGGAGGTGACCACATGGTGCGGCAGACCTCTCCTGACCCGCCCGCTGCTCCCCTCAGCAGTGTACTTCGTGGATCTGCCTGTTCTGCTCCCCACTCTGTCTCTAGTGAATCCTCTCACCCTCTGCATCTCTGGCCTGTACCCCAGTTCTATATGAATAAATAAATAAATCTTTTAAAAAAAATCAAAAAAAATTAACAAAATCTGTTAAAAGTTGTGGGTAACTTAAGTGACTTGACATTCTCACCAAAAGTCTAATATAAATAAAGATGAACAAACTGCACTTCAAAGAAGCAAAAATGCAAGAAGATAAAATAAATTTAGAAACAGACATACTATTCTTCTCTGGGATACCAACAACATTTACCATGGCACTTACAAGTTCCAAAAAGTACTCCAAGAAAAAAGTCAGTTCAACATTTTTCAATCTGTTCAGCCTTCCAAATTTACTTAATAGACTAATATAACCTGGTAAACATAACAATTTTATCTGCATGTATGAAAGAAAAAAGCCTATCACAGAAACGTCAGCCCTCATCTTCTGCTTCAATATTTAACAAAGTAATCTCTTAGAAAATCTCGAACAGACAGCAAGTAATCAGAAAGGAAATCTCTAAATGTCCACATCTAATCTAATTTCCACTCAATTTCTCTAACTGGAAATTTTATTTCAATAGCTAAGAAGGGGGGGGATAAAGATAAACTCTTACCTTTTTACCAATAACCTTCCAAATTTAAATATGAACCCTATTCCTGGGAATCACCCAAAAGCAAGACCTCAGAAATGCTTGGAATACTAGTTATTTGTTTATTCTCTTAACCTATTTCCTCAGCAGTAAAACTCTGGATTGGGTACATTGCCTATGTGAAAGCTGCCAACATTAGTCTCCACCCTAAGCTTCACCCTTATGTTAACCTTCTCTAAACTGGACTTCATTTTTTTCTTTAATTGTATTTTGACACCCTTTTTTCCTGGAAGATGAATTGGTGACCTATAATCAGGAAGTCAAGTACCTGATTAGACACATACTTCATCATTCAGGAACAGTTAATTACCAAAGGAAACATACTAGATATTAATCAATTTGCTTTACATTCTAAACTAAATTGTGTCTTGCAAAACCACTCTACTAACTAGACACAGCAAAAGTATAACTGATTCTAAAATCAGCTCCACTCTAATAACTTCAGCTATTTACAGGAGTTTCTGTTTCTGTGCCCTTTAATCTAAATTTAAACCTGCTTGTTTTCTGAAGCTTGAAATTAGCATAAAGTTAAATATGGGGAAAATATACACTAATGAATACAACCCACCTCCTGCTCAATATCTGCAAAAGTCTCCACAAAAAAGTTTCTCAAATAGGTTCAATTCTGCTACAAATATACTTCCCTGAAAAAGTTTTTGCTTCCATGGGTAAAGTCAGTTGTAAATTTCAACAAGAAAGGAAAAATACAATCTTTTCATTGACAAAGAGCGAGTTAACACCAACATTAGAGTATATCTAACAAAATCTTTTATGAATATTTTAGGTAATATTAAACTGACTAAATCTTGAGAAGCATGTCATTGTAATAAAAGTCCTAATTTTTAACTGTTCTATGTAAAACTTTCATGAAATGAGGAGCAATATTTTTCACAGCTAAATATTTTTAAATAGTGCACGTGCCAATGATACATTTGCACTAGCTACACTATGGTCCTGTCACCACCAGGCCTATTCCAAGAGGGTCAAATCTAAACCCATTCACCAGGTCAGTAACTAACAATGGTTTCTGTTGGGGGGGGGGCAGGAAGTAAGAGTTTATAAGTAATGCCATTGCTGTAGCTCTATCCTATAGTTCTGTTTTCTATTGGGTCTGCCCGGAAGAAAGCAACTAAAAACAAATGTTTTTAAAAGGGTAAGTCCTAGAAGGTTGCAGTGTAAGTTCAAGGGACCTCATCTGATGTTCCACAGGTTGCTTCACTCACCTAGTGGCCTCTCTTAAAAGGCGTCCCCCCACCGCACCCCAGTTCCCTCAACCCTCTGTCTTCTCCAGTATAGACATTTCTCTTCCCTTTAGGTTACCTTCTTCGAGCAAAACCTCCTCCCCACTTGGGTTCCCCAAGGTCTCTCTAGGTCCCGCCCTCCTCTCAGGTGCCCTCCTAGGTCTACAGCCCCCGCTGGCTCACACAGGCCGGCGCGGGCCCCCAGCACCAGTAGCCACCGTGGATGCCTCCCACCCATCACCCAGATTTCGTAAGCTCCGGGCTCCGGCGGCGCCTCCGGCCTCCGCGGCGCCAGCACCTCACCCAGCACCTCACCGCAACACGCCCCCCGCCCCCGGCCCCTTACCGCACATGATGTAGGAGGCAGGGTCTGCAGAGCAAGCGGCGAGTGATCGGCGAGGTTGGTAGCGCACCCGCACTACCCTGTGGAGCAAAAGGGGGATTTGGGAGCCTGGGACGAGCCGACACGACTCCCTCCAGGATGCGACCGCCGAGGTAACGACAGCCTCCTTGGCCTCCCAGGCTAGCCAGCAACCGCCGCTGAGCCCCGCCCCTCGGCGCACACCACGCCGCCGCGCCGCAGTTCACAGGTTCCATTGGGCGGTGTCTATGCCACTCACGCGAAGATCCCGCCTCCCCTCGCCGCCCCGCCCCGCCGCGCCCCCGAGCCCACGCAGGCAGTCAGTAGCCTGCTGGCGGCGGAGACGTGGCACGGCCGGGAGCTGCATCCGCATGAAGTTCCTGGAGCAGCCTGGGCTTTAGGAGAGCAGCGGGGGGGCATTTGCCAGAGGGCAGAAGGAAACTCGGTGACTATCTGGCAGTGACGTAAAAGATAAGAGAATGGGATTAAGAAAGGGAATAGAATAGTGTTGAGGCACACGCCTGGTGCTTTACAAGGCCCAGGCTCGGGCACCTCTTGTTGCGAGAGCAGAGGAGGAAGCAAGCCTGGAAAGGGAATCCCGAAAGATACACAATTCCTTAGGAAGGAATATAGGCTGACGAAATATTGCTAAGACTTGAGTGAAGTGAGGGAAAAGAAGTAACAAGATTTTGACTGAAAAGCATCCTTTGTCTTTCTACTAAAACGTGATTCAAATTACCAACTCAAGTTCCCCGTAACATGCTTGGCCTCCCAAAGTCCTCTGTTTCCCATCTCCACCATCACCCACTGCCTTTCAGACCCCCAGCTTTTTGCGAAGGGGAAAGAGGAGGATGTAATGCTCACCTGCCCAATACTTGTTCTTGGGCTTAGAAACGCTGGGGCAGACCTCTGACGGCCCACCCAAGAGGATTGCTGGAATTTGACAGCCTGTCATTTGACTCATCTACGACTAATTCTGTGATTTAATGTACCACCACGCCTGCCAAGAGAGACTTAATCAGAGATGATGGTTCTAAGAATTTACTACCTGAGATTTGCTTAGTACGATTTAGATGGTATCCTTACTCAAATTTAGATGGTTATCATAAGGCTGTTAATGACTCTAGACTGGAATCAAAAACTTGCATGGCATGAAGCTCACTGCTACTCTCTTTCTACCCCACCTTCCAATGCTTTACACTCTAACACTAAACCACTAAATTCTCAGATGGGCCAACATTCTCGAACCTTTTCACATATGAGTTACTTTTCCTGGAAGATCCACCCCACCTCTGCTTAAGTGCAATTGCCTCAGGAAGACCTTAAGGACATGTGTTAACTTCTCATTTTTTTAGCTACTCTGTCTAAAGCAATATGCCCAATATTTGATGTGGTATTCTTTGTTTTTTTTATTTCCCTACTAGGCTAAGTTTCTTAAGACAATAAGGTTTTATATACCCAATACATAATATAAATCTTATCACAAAGTAAGGGTTCAAGAACAATTTTTGGAATGAGTGAACGCCATATGTTCTTAAGCAGAATTGGCTGGTTATATATCAAGTGAGCAAGTGACTTTTTCTTAGGAAAAAAAAAAGTCTTTTTATCATTGGGCTCAAGGAAGGGTCAGAATTCACATTTAACTAACCAAAGTATTTCTCACTGGAAGTCCTATAATACTCAGACCCTTAGACAGGTCCCCAAATCACTCACTGGAAAGTTAGAAAACTGTGAACTATTTGTTAATACTCATCTTTTTCAAAGATTCATTTATTTATTTGGAGAAGAACTAGGGTGTAGGCCAAAGGTGCAGGGTGTAAGATGATTCACCAGAGAGTGGGGAGCAGAACTGGCAGATCTACTGAAATAACATTGCTAAGGGAAGCAGCTGGTCTGCTGTGGTCTGCTGTGGGGAGACAGGAGAGGTTTGCTGTGCCATATGTGGGTTAGTTGCTTGGCTAGGGATTGTACTCAGGCCTTAGTAGTGATAGTGTAAAGACTTAACCCCTAGGCTACCAAAGAGGCCCACCAAAACATGGTTCTTAATTCAAGATGCAAAAGTCTTAGTTTCAAAACACTCGTCAAAAAGAGGTTCTGGTAAAACCTCAGTGATATTGCCAAGGAGTTAAGGTATGACTCTAGTACTTGAACAATACCTTTGTGCATTGCAGCAAATCTGTCTATGCCATAAAGGAAATGCCAGTAATGCCTCCAAAGTTCTCATTCTCAAATTCTAACAATCTACTGAAACTCTTACTTTCCTCTTCTGCTTGTTCCTCCATGATTGTGGCTATCAACTTTTCTTCTTCATTCTACAGCTATTTTAAAAGATACTTATCAAGTAGTTAAGAGGAAGAAATTTTGAAAGTCAATATTTTCCCAGTCCAGCCTTGAATAACCTCAACAGCCTACTACAACAAAGAATCCTTTGTAACTCTGTGCCAGTCAAGTTACTAAGACAGAACGTTGCTTGTCTGACCCCCATCTATATAGAGCTTTGCCTCAGCTGGAACTCTGGGAATAAAAGTAGAGAAGTAAATGATCTATGAAGAAAAGGAGGTCTTAGTCTATTCAAGCATCTGAAGAAATTAATTTTCTTTTCTGACCAAAAGTTCTAGACCAGACTAAAGAAAAAAAAAAAAGTAATGATCATAAGAGTATCATTCATTATCACTATCTATAGAAACCAAATTTCCCATTCACAAGATTAGTCCTATCAAACCCAGTGGCTCCCAGCCTCCCCCTTACCATCAGTTGGCATCTTTGATTTTTTAAGAAAGATTTATTTTGGGGCCCTGGTGGTGCAACTGGTTAACACACAGCACTATGAAGCTATCTGCAACCCCTGAGTTTGACCTGTGACCAGGGGGGTGACCCACATGGCGTGGCAGACTCTGTTGATCCTCTCACCCTCCTGCACCTCTGTATGCATAAATAATAAATCTTAAAAAAACAAAGATTTATTTTTAAATGTATGCATACAAGAACTGAGGTGTAGGTCAGAGGGGCAGGGGGCAGTAAGAGGATTTCCCAGAGAGAGAGTGGGGAGCAGAACAGGAAAATCTACTGAAAGAAATTGCTGAGGGGAGCAGCAGACAAGATAGGAGAGGTCTGCTGTACCATGTGAGTTAGCTCCCTAGCCAGAGATCTAACGCATGCATGCAGTGGCTGGCCAAAGTTTAAAAGCACTGAGACCTTAACCTCTGTGCCACCAGGATCTCATAGCTGTCATTTTTTAAAGAAACAATGATCCATAACTGAAATAAATTTGTGAGTTTTAAATGTCCCCATGTTTGTAATTTTTTGTTACTCCCTATCTGAATTCCAATTACAATAAAACTATTAAAATTAAAAAGCTCTGTAAGAGTGGGTATAATATACAGGATAGCACAGCAGACCTCTCCTATCTCACCCACTGCTCCCCTCAGCAGTGTATTTAAGTATATCTGCTTATTCTGCTCCCCACTTGTCTGTGGTGAATCCTCTCATCCCCTGTGCCACTAGCTTGTACTCCAGTCCTTGTGTGCATAAATAACATAAAATTAAAAAAAAAAAGTTTCATTCTTGACAATTTTATCATCATCTTCTACCATCTATGGTCTACTTACACTTAAGTACTGCCAGTTGATTAAAAATATATATATACCATCTCAAACGCTTGCATCGTTGTCTTTGCCTTTTTTTTAAAGGAATCATTAAAAATAGTACCATTTACTAAACATAGAGCCTGACTACAAAAGACTAGTCACTCACATAATAGGTTATACAGGGAACAGAAAGTTCCCTTGTCCAAACTCTATCTGTAACTATCTATTTAAGGCAGAACACCTCCCTTCCCCTAGAACATCATTAAGTTGTTACCATCTATTAAAGATTTAGAGCGAAATTATTTATACAATTACTTTTCATTTGGTACCAGATGTGAAAAGGTCACTGAAGAAACTCAAGTTTTGATGGGGCTAAAGATAAAATCAGAAGGCAGACAGTCTTGGACAGAGTATCTTGATTGATAACACTGGGCAAGAAAGGAACACTATAATAATGTTTGTGGAACTGGTTATGGAAATGTAAGATATGAAAAAAGATATAAAAAATAAGTTGGCAAAATTTATCTACTATGTTGGTTATTTTTTTATGTTAACTTGACTAGGTCACAGTGTCCAGATTTTGGTCAAAACTTGTTTTGGAAGTTTCTCAGAAGATGCTTTTAGTGAGATTAACATTTCACAACTGTTGAGTAATGTAGATTGCTATCCATAATGTGAGTAAACCTCATCTAATCCTTTGAAGGTCTGTACTCAAAAGTCTCCTTTAGCAACAAAAGAAGGAATTCTCTAGCACAACTGGGCTTAAACTGTAACACTGACTACACTCTGCATCTGTGAATATCTATCTGGGACTATAGAGAGGTTTAGTATAAATATTCTTTTTTTAGACTACAAGAACTGAGGTGGAGGCCAGAGGTACTGGAGGGTGAAAGGATTCATCGAAGATAGATTGGGGAGCAGAACAGGCAGATTTACTGAAATAACACTGCTTAGGGAAGCAGTAGGTGAGACAGGAAAGGTCTGTGTCATTTGTGGGTTAGCTGCCTGGCTGGAAATCAAATTCAGGCCAGAGTGGTGATAGTGCTGAGATTTAACCCCTAGGTCACCAAGGAAACCCTAATATAAAAAAATAAAAACTATTGTATGATTAAACCATACCTTCTAAATCTTTGTTTGTGCTCAATTAGTATTTTCATTTTCAGATTGATATTTGGCTTGTAAATACAGTAAAATTATTAACAAGCCCTAAGTTATTTAACAAAACCTCCATGACTTACCAGGTATTTTGCTAGATGGCCAGCTTCAAATGACTGAATACCTGACAACAGTGGCTAGACACAGGAAACCTTTTATCTCACGATATTATGAAAATGGATGGCTCCTAAACTCATTCAAAAGTCAATAATGTCCTCAAAGACTCAGGTGCTGCTTCTTTCCGGTTATTCTCAGTGGGCTAGTTTTTTTTTTTTTTTATCATGATTACAAGTTGACTGTCATAACCTTACCCATTTAAGTCTTCATAATATTAATACACTATACAAAGCAGGAAGGAAAGAAATATACAGGAAAAGAACCTTCTTTCTATTGGTTCTCAATCAAGAAAGATCTTTCCAGACCTTCCAATAGACTTCTTCTCACAGTTCACATTAAACAGAGCTGGACCATATGTTCACGCCTAACTAAAAACTGGAAAGAGAATTAAAATGACTTGTTTTGATTACCATGTATCAATATTAATTCAACAAAAACTATTTTAAAAAAAAAAAAAATGACTGGTTTAGGGCCCTCGCAGGTGGCACAGCGGTTAGGATGCAGCACTGTAAGCTAGCTGCAGCCGCTTCAGTGCGAGTTCGATCCCTGGTCCAGGTGATCCACATGGCACAGCAGACCTCTCCTGACCCGCCCGCTGCTCCCCTCAGCAGTGTACTTCGTCTATCTGCCTGTTCTGCTCCCCACTCTGTCTCTGGTGAAGCCTCTCACCGCCCCTGCACCTCTGGCCTGTACCCCAGCTCTGTAAGTATAAAAAAATAAACCCTTAAAAAAAAAATGACTGCTTTAGAGTAGTTATCATTTATTCCCCAGCAATAAAGTGGGACCTACTTCACTACTAAATAATTGAGAGGGACTCTCTTCACAAGAAGCTGGGGTATACATTGCATAGGCAACCAAAAGTTCCTGCAATAGTCTCCAATCTGCCTATTTCTCCATTTCCAACAAAGTTCTTCTACTTTCTAGCCTTCCTTAGTTTCTTGAATTTCCCAAATATTTTTTTACCACTTCCAATCCTGATTATACTGCTATGTATGCCTAGAATATTCTCTTACCTTTCCTCATTTTCATAGTTGTTCCTATTTATTTAAAAAAAAAAGGGGGAGCCTCCCTGTGCTTTCAAGGGTTTAAAGCACAGCACTGTGAAGCTCACAGAAGCCGCTTCAGCCCCAGTTCGATCCCTGGCCAGGGAGGTGACCTGTATGTCGTGGCAGACCTCTCCTGTCTTCCCTGCTGGCCCCCTACCCTAGCAGTGTACTTCATTGACCTGCCTATTCTGTTCCTTGCTCTGCCTATGGTGAATCCTCTCATTTGCCCCTGCACCTCCAGCCTATACCCCAGTTCTGTATACATAAATAAAATAAATCTTAAAAAAAAAAAAAAACCTTTCTAATGTGATGGTATCTCAGTCCCATGACTGCCTCTCTCCCAACAATCAAGTCCACCACTCTCCTCAGCCACTTACTTCAGTCATTTAACTGCACCTCCATCACAATCCTATAGTTTCAAGTAAAGAGCAGGTTAAAGTGAAGTACCTAGCCTACAAAGCAATTCCGAGAGTCTAGCCTGCGTTACTCTATAATAGCACGGAAAATGGGTTCTCTGTACTACTGTCTGGTTCTGTGAACCAAAGGACAAAAAACAATTCACAGCATTCACAACTGCTGGAGTTCTCTCTGTTTATTTAATCTCCATACTTTTGGGGATAAGAACTCTATATGCACTAAAACAGTGTTATTTCCCAATCTATCCTTTCCTGATATCATATGTGAAGTGATGCCTCTGAAATACGATAGAAAATTGAGAGAAGGATAATTTTCTATTTTGGCTATCTGAAAACACAGTACCCTTATCATGAAAGGTAACTGTCCAAATTTCAAGTATGGCATAGATTATAAATCTCTGAGTCAGAAGTCAACGATGGAAGAGGGACCAAAGCAGTTTCTCATTTTTTTTTAAAGATTTATTCTCAGATGTGCTTCTCCATTGGGAAATTACTAGCTAGATGCTATTTTTAAATCAGAATTGTTAAGTTTTGCTTTTAAACAAGGGGAAATTTTAGTAAAAATGTTTTCGAGTGTCTCACAAAAAAGACAGTTTAGAATATTTTAAAACTTTCTCCCCATTTACTTCTGCAAAAATAAAAAGTAAATAAATTAGAAGAAAATATTTTAAATTGTTTCACACATTATGCAAAGAAGCAACCATGATATATGAAGAACAAAAGTAAAAATATCTCTGGATAAAATCCACATGTACAGATAATGATTCAGAGTGTTATAAATAACTCATATGAGGTCAAATAAACACACATTAGAGAAAGAGAAAGAGAGAGAGAGAGATAAAGATATATACATATCATTCTCTAAGGAAAGGGCATATTTTATTAACCCTCAAGTTCCTAAATAGTTTGGTATATACATTAATGACAAGTACAACTGCTGGCCCCAAAGAAAATTAAAATATTTCAAGGTGCATTTGCTTCTTTTTCATCTGATTCATCATCCATAACCTAAAACCAAAAAGACAAAAAGATGATTTAATAATTCGAAAAGGATTAGAAATTACTATTTCGGGGCCCTCCCTGGTGGCTCAATGGGTTAAAGCATCACATGATGAAGCTCTCCGAAACCACTGTAACATGAGTTTGATTCCTGGCCCCAGAGATGACCACATGGCATGGCTCCCTGCTCCCCTCAGCAGTATATTTCAGTACATATGCCTGTTCTGTTCCCCAATCTGTCTCTGGTGATACCTCTCACCCCCTGCACCTCTGGCCTGTTCCCCAGTTCTGTAAGCATAAGTAAATAAATCTTTTTAAAAAATTACTATTTCTGATTTTAATATTACTTGTTTATACTAGACTATATAGCAATACATCAGTCCAATAAGAATAAATTTCCCAATAGCCCCCAAAACAGAGGTATACATGATAACCTGGTATCCTAACATAAAAGAAAAATGTTATCAGCCAGTTAATCAAAACACTAGTCTTTTTTCCTTGTCCCAAAAGAGACTTTCAACAATAGAATCTCAGTTGCTGTCAACAGCTGGACAAAGAATGATTAACTGATATTTCCTAATACAACTCACTCTTCTGTCTTCTTCCAAAAGCATCTTATTTACCTAAACATATTCTGGGAAGCAGCAACTGTTACTACAAAAATATATACTAGATAAATGAAATCCTAAAAAACATAATGAAATAAAATATACTAGAAACTAATTACTTTGGTTTTACTGAGACAAAAAATCATTTTACACATTAGAAAAATGTGAAAACTTTCATTGCTAATAAATCAAGAAAAACGTGCGTTAATATCTGAAGAAAAAATTTAATTAATATTCTTTCATGAGTTAACATATTACCAAAATAATGAAGACCAACTCCTTTTGAGAAAAAAATAGTAATAGTAATATTAACCTAACAATTATTTTCTCTTTACCACATCTACTACAACTAAACACCAATTCCAGTTTACAATCTAACTGCCAATTCATTAGCCCACCCTGGACAAGTGAATTTAAAACGTTCCTTTATCAATCGACCAAAGCATAACTAAGTTTTTAAGGTTATATAGAAATAATGGGAAAAAATAAGTTAAAACAATTCGTTCATAGTTGCCGTTATATTGAGTAAAAGTGAATATTAACTTCCAAGCAATTTCTATTTTATATTCAATTTTAGTAACACCTAACAAAATAATTTTGCCAACAACTAACTCTCCTTTTAGGTAGAATATTCTTAAATTTGGAATATTTCCAAATACTTACGTAATACAAACGATGTGTAAGACATGTATAACACAGAGGGCTAAGTGCTACAAAGGAATACAAAGACCTAGATAGGATTACGAATCTTTGAAGGAACATAAAGCTGAAACACACTGACTTAACTAGTTAAAGCAGGCCTCAATTCCAAGTAGAAGACTGACAAAAACTAAAAAGAATGGCAAGTATTATACCAAACACAGATTGTTTTTTAAAGATTTATTGATTTATGCATACAGAACTGAGGTACAGGCCAGAGGTGTGGGGCAGTGAGAGGATTCACCAGAGACAGAGTGAAGAGCAGAACAAGCAGACTGACTGAAATACACTCCTGAGGGGAGCAGCAGGCGAAACAGGAGAGGTCTGCTGGGCCATGTGGTCCAGCGCTGGGGATCAAACTTGCATTTAAGTGGCTAATGCTAGCTTGCAGTGCTATACTTTAACCCACTGTGCCACCAGGGAGGGCCGCAAACACAGATTTTTAATACTATTCAGAGACATATGAATGATTCTCAAAGGAACTTAAAGGACATGCCCTCTGCTTAAAGGGACAGAATTATCTGAAGAATATTTTCAAACTCCTAATTCTCATATACTCTTTCTCTCTTAACTAATCTCTCTCCATAAGGCCATGCCTTTTAGTTGAAAATCAATGCAGTGAGATCAGTATTCTACTGACCAAGTGCTGTGCTGTATTTCTTATATGTTGAGACAAAAAAAATGCAGACAGCAGGCTACAGAAAAAGCACTGAAACTCATTCTCTAATCTACTGTACAGCAATGTATGATCTTTTGATAAGCTTCTTGCCTGCTCATGTAAGAACAAGTTCATAAATATGTGGAGCTCTTCCCCTAAACACATCTAAAATCTCATGTATAAAACTTCATGCTTTTCATATTTTTTCTACAACCGGAAGAGTAGTATTCCCGAGTCTCAATTTCCTTATGGATAAAGTGGGAAGAACTTAATACACTTACATTATTAGAAGACTAAAGGAGGCAGTGTTTGCAAAAATTATTTATTATTATTTTTAAAGATTTATTTATTTGTACAGAACTGGGGTACAGGCCAGAGATGCGAAGGGTGAGAGGATTCACCAGAGACAGAGTGGGGAGCAGGACAGGCCAACCTACGAAGCACACTGCTGAGGGGAGCAGCAGGGGGGTCAGGAGAGGTCGGCCGCACCATGTGGGTCACCTCCCAGGCCAGGGATTGAAATCCTGCAGAAGTAGCTTTAGCTTCTTAGTGCTGTGCTTTAACCCGCTGCACCATCAGGGAGGGCCCCGCAAAAATTATTTTTACACAATAGGTATTCATATCAAGAAAATGTCAGATTATGACTATTGTCTCTTTTCAACTATTTATTTTAATACTAAATGAAGCTATCACATAATATTGCCATACCTGTTCCACGCCTTCTACTTCTGGAATATAAAACTGTAGCATGTTCTGAATTCCATTTTTCAGCGTAATAATTGAACTAGGGCAGCTGGTGCAAGAGCCCTGAAGTTTCAGCTGTACAATGCCATCTTCAAAGCCTTTATAGATGACATCTCCTCCATCTTCCTGCACAGTTGGCCTGTGATCAAGAACATGTGTGATACATTCAAAAGAAAAAATTTTCATCAAAAAAGATTTTTTAATAGTCACTACATTTTATTACACCTGGATTACTACCTAATTAATGTTACTACATTTTATTACATATATATTACTACCTAATTTTTTAAACAATTTGTTCCAGGAATTGTGCATTTTATAAACATTAGCTTACTAGTTATATGTAGTCAAAAGATTTTAGTACAGCTCAGTACTTACATTTTATATTGTTAAAATTCAAAGTTAGAGCAACTTTTACAACAGAGAATAATAACTGTGGCTAGTCATTTTCTATTTTTAAAATTACTTTACATGAAATGCTAAAATTCATTCATATAATCCTTTGTTCTACTTATTTTAAACTTGCCAACCAATAATCTTTTTAAGCATTTAAGATTTCATATTTCTTAATTATAATGTTACCTAAGCTATAAGTTTCTTTTAGGCGAACAGAGGAGACTGACACATAATTAGCTGACACACAATTTTTCCAGGTAAACTTTATGCTAAAATAAGACATTAATACAGAAAAGTGAATAAATCACAAATGATCAACTCAATGAATTTTCACAAATTAAACATACATTTTCCCATACCAAGAACACAGCACACCAGAAGGCCCTTGTCTTCCTCTAATCACTCTTAACAACCAAAGGTAACCATTATTCTAATTTCTATCATCATTCATCAGTATTTTTTAACTTTATAATTTATAAATGTAAATTTAAAGTATTTGCTCTGTTGTATCCATTTTCTCACTCTTTGTAAGCTTCTCTCACATACAATGTAGTAATTTCATTCAATTTCACTGCCTCATTGTGTTCAGTGAAGCTAATCTGCCAGAGCATTCATTCTATTGTTGATGGACATTTGGGTTAATGACAGTTTTTTTCTTTTACAAATAGTGCAGCTATGAAGACTCCTGCAATTGATTTTTGGTATACATATATATTACTACTGGGGAAATACATGAGAGTAGAATTGCTGGATCAAGAATATGTTTCTGTTTGGAGTTAGCAGATATTGCCAAATGATTTTCTAGTTATATTAACTTAGATTCCCACCAGCAGTGTAGAAAGTTCCTTTTGCTCTATAATTGGTGTTTTCAATCTTAATGTTTTTGTTTTTTAAAGATGTATTTATGCATATAAGAACTGGGGTGTAAGCCAGAGGTGTGGGGGAGGGGAAATGGTTGTGAGAGGATTCACCAGAGAGTGGGGAGCAGGACAGGCAGATGTACTGAAATACAATGCCAAGTGGGAGCCACCTGGCAAAACAAGAGAGGTCTGCTGTGCCATGTAGGTTAGCCCCTAGCTCCCTGGCCAGCCAAGAATCAAAACTTACTGATTTTAACCATTCTAGAGGATTTGCAGTGATTTTCACTGTGGCTTTAATTTGAACATTCACGATAGCAAATGAGTCTCAGCACTTTTTCATGTTTATTGGCTATTTGGTTACTGTCTTGTAAAGTGTTTGCTTTATAAGCAATTTGAATATTTGCAATTTGGATATTCATTATTACAAAAGAGTCTGAGCACGTTTTTTCATGTTTATTGGCTATTTAGTTGCTGTTTTATAAAGTGCTTGCTTTAGTCTCTAGCTGATTGTCATTTTCGTAGTAATTTGTAGGCATTTTAAAATATATTCTGTATTACAATCATTTTCTACTCTTTGCTTTGTATGTTTTGATGAAGAGAAAGTCTTAATTTTACATATATATGTAAATTTTATAGACCAGTATTTATTTTCCTTGATCTTCTTTTTATTCTCTGAAAAAAAAAATTTGTCAACCCACAGGTCATAAAACTCTTATATTAAATTTTCTTTGTGATCTTTTTGTTGCTGTGGACCTGTGGCTCTTTCTGAAGAGCACGGCTGCTTTAAAATATACGGGAATTCTAAATGTGTGTTTGTGTGTGTGTGTGTGTGTGTGTATACACGGGAGGGATTCTGTGGCTATCTTTTAGAAAATGTCATCTAGCTTAATCCCACTATATAATCAGAAAACAATATTCTCAATGATTTAAATCACAGCAGAGATTCAGAATACCATCTATAGTAAGTTTTCAATGCATTCTTGAAAAGAATGTTTTGTTCTTATTGAATGCAATAGTCCACGTAAACTTAGTCAAATTTTTTTAATTATGTATATAAAACTCTTCTATTTTAGCTCATTATTTTATGTGCTTGTCCTTCTTATTAGTGAAGTGTTTTTCCTGATGATTATAGATCATCTACTTCTTTCAGTTTTGTCAAAAATTCTATATGCAATTTGAAGCTGTTATTAGGTATATACAAATTTTAAAATAGCATATTTTCCTGCTAGAAATTGTCCTTAAGTTATTATGAAAGATTTCCCATTACTACAAGTAATATCTTTAGCTGTAAAGTACATTTTGTCTGATACCTATATAACTATACACCAGCTTTCTCTTCTTTGCATGGTATATAATTCCCCATCTTTTTACTTTCAACCATTCTGAGTCATTATATATATATATTTTTTGAAGATTTATTTATTTATTCATACAGAAGTGGGCTATAGGCCAGAGATGCGGAGGGTGAGAGGATTCACCAGGGACAGAGCGGGGAGCAGAACAGGCGGATCTAAAAAGTACACTGCTGAGGGGAGCAGCGGGCAGGTCAGGAGAGGTCTGCCACGCCATGTGGATCTCCTCTGGGGCAGGCGGGAATCGAACTCATACGGAAGTGGCTTAAGCTTCTTAGTGCAGTGCTTTAACCCGCTGCGCCACCAGGGAGGGCCTGAGTCATTATATTGAAGGTGTATCTCTCTTTTTTTTAAATTAAGATAATTCTGGCTTATATTAGTGTTTGTATTTTAGTAGTATTGGAACCCCCTCCTTCAGGTTATTGCCATGGTATATATCGCCTTTTTTCTTTTTAATATTTATTTATTCATACAGAACTGGGGTACAAGCCAGAGGTTCCAGGGTGGTGAGAGGCTTCACCAGAGACAGAGTGGGGAGCAGAACACGCAGATCAATGAAGTATAGTACTGAGGGGAGCAGCGGGCAGGTCAGGAGAGGTCTGCTGCACCAAGTGAATCACCTCTGGGGCAGGCGCCTGCTGAAGTGGCTTTAGCTTCTCCGTGCTGTGCTTTAACCTGCTGCACCACCAGGGAGGGCCCTCACATCTCTTATTGGCAATATGAGTGATGTTTCATAATCTTATTTTTTATTCATTAACATAAATATAATAAAACATAACTACTAATATATTTGCTTTGCATCACCATCTTACGACTTTTTTACAATTTTGCATTTTTTATTAATCCTTTTATTATTTAATTTTTTCCCTTCATCAGTTTGTTGGTATTACTGTCCTTTGCAATTCATTTAGTATTTACCCCACAAATTGCCTACTTGGTTTCTTTTCTTTTCTTTTTTTTTTTTTTGGAAGACTTAATTATTTATTTATGCATAAAAGAGCTGGGAAGTAGGCCAAAGGTGTGACGGGGGTGGAAAGAGTGAGAGAACTCACCAGAGACAGAGTAAGGGAGCAGAAGAGTTAGATGTAATGAATTACATTGTTGAGAGACCCAGCAGGCAAGACAGGAGTGGCTGCGGATAGCTTCATAGTGCTGTGCTTTAACCAGTTATGCCATCAGGGAGGCCTGCTAGTTGCTTTTGTAAACTATGATATAAATTATAGTTTTACCAACATCTAGATAAAGCCAAGATTATAGAACTTTTCATTTTATGTTTAGCATTTTTTATATTTTAATCATGCATTTTAACTCTAAATATATAAAAACCATACAAGGCATGCTTCTTCCATTTTCTTCTTTTATGCTTCAATTTGGATATTTTCTACAGACCTATTTCCCAATACTTTAATCTTCTCTTTGAGACTATTTGCACAATGTGATTTTCAATTCATATTATATTTTTATTTGAGAATTTTATGTATTTCTTCACAGACCCCAGTTCTCTATGAAATTCCACATCTTGTTTTCTGTTTTCTTTAACATGTAATTACAGTTATTTTAAAGATGATGCCTGGGAACTCTAAGTTGCTGTGGATGTGTTTTTTTATTGATCCAGTTTGTAAGCATGCCTAGTAATTTTTGACTGAATAATAACGATGTATGAAAAACAGAAGTGAATCAGAATATATTATATCAAAAATGATTCATCCTCTCTTCCTCCAGTAGCTCAAACAACTATGGAATTAACCTCAATGGATGCTGTATCACAATACCTAGTTTACTTCTGATTTGTCCCATTTCAAAGGCTTGGTCCTCTAAGGAGACCAACCGAGAGCCCACAAGTTTCCGGAAGCCCCACCCTCAACAGATTCTGAACTCCAATTGTATTTTTCCACCAGTACCAAAAAACTACTAAAACTTGTTCAGTTCTCCAACTGCATTTTGTTTGACTTCATTTTTTCCTAACTTCTTTCTCTGGGATTTTGACATTTTAGTCAATGCTTCATTGTAACCCAGATGTAAGTTTTGTCTTCTGGTCTCAAACTTGCTAAAAGCTAATGGTTTCTCTGATTCTTAGCACCTGTCTCTATCAGGTTCTTAGACTCTAACTTCACATGAACAATCAGCAAAAAAAAGTTTTCCTCCTCTGAAGGATCTAATTATTCTGGCAAATTTCTACCACAGGCTTTCTTTCAAACAAGAAAAATTTTTACTGCACTTTATCCAGCTTCTCTGGGATTTCACAGCAAGTCTACCATAAGCAAAGTGGGGGCCTACAGTTTTCCACTCAACGAAATTCTTTATAGACAATATCCTGAAACAGGATAGCCTCCCTCTTCTCATAATCTTCCAAATGTTCATTTTGTCCTAGCAAATTTGGTGTTACATCAATATCAAACCTAAATGGTAACTGTGAAAGATAAATTACTTCATTGACTATGTTTAGAAAATGTAGGGGCTTTAAATATATCTGACAAGGCTAACTTACAGTTTACATTAAAATATTTATTTTGGAATTCTACTATAATTTCTCAAACAACCAAAAGCTTATGGCTATAATGAAATTCTCTCAGTAGTGTATCTGATTTCAGGTAGAAAGATGAGCACATACCGTATTCTGGTATCTAATAATTCTTTAATCATTGCCACAACTTCATCATCCTCTTCAGATCCTATAAACAATTACACATAAAAAATATCAAAGGAAAAATATTATATCCATGCAATCACAGACATCAAGTAAGATGTCTCCAACTTAATGCCTCCCTAAAAAAATAAAAAGAGCAGAACATGTAATTTGGTAAGGTGTTTAATATGCGTGATTTTGGGGGAAACAGAAGATAATTCACTTGATTCTTTATAGAAAATTTAAGGAGCACTGACCAATTTATCATTTGGTGATAAAGTATACTAAACTAACCTGATATTAGAACCTGAATTTTTAGTAATTCTGTAAGTTTCTCAAGCATTGAAAAGTATCAGAGAAAAAAAATTGCCTATATGTTGATGGAAACTTTGAGAACCTATTTTGTAAATTAAGTTACAATTTCAATTTTCACAATAGTGGTTTTTAAAATGACAATCAGACTAAAGATTTAAATCTGAAAGAACAAATTGGTGAGCATTATATTACTTTGTCTATGCTTGAAAAATTTAATAATTGACATTTTTAGTTTTTTATAATTCAATTTATATACACATTCAAATTATACAGTTTTCCCCAAAAAATGATGGATGAAGCAAATATATATAAATTTTGGTTCCCTTTAGAATTGGTGTCAGGGCTAATATAGACATAATTCATTCTTTTATGCTTCACCTTATTGCAGATATTGTTTTAGTTTTGTTTTTACAAAATTGAAGCCTTTCACCAATCCTGTGGTACCCTTTTTCTAACAGCATATATTTATTTATATGCTTACTTACTCTCTGTCACATTTAATTAAGGTATGTGTATTGTTTTTTTAGAAATAATGTTACTGCACACTTAAAAGACTATTACATAGTGTAAATATAACTTTTATATGTGTTGGGAATCAAAAATTCCATCTCTTTATTGTGACATTTATACTATTACAGTGGTCTGTAAACATGCCTACAATATTTTCAAGGTAAATGATAAAAATATGTATTCGTATAACTTCTGAAAACCAGGAAAAAGTGAAGAAAAGTCTAAAAAAAGATAAATTACTTCACAATATAATACCTGCTTCTGCTGGAGATATTTCCTCCGTAACTAAGGGTAAGCCAGATGCGAAAAAGTCCATGATCGTTGCATAAATATCTGGTTTCAGTAAATTCCAGTCTAACTCTTCACTTTCCTATAAATATTTGAAAGAAAACACTACATTACTCACAAAGGCAAACACAAAACAATACTTTATATCTTGCAGATTTACTGAAATATACCTCTCAGGGGAGCAGCAGGCGAGACAGGAGAGGTCGCCCACACCATGTAGGTCACCTCCCTGGCCAGAGGTTGAACTCATGGTACAGTGGCTGCAGATAAGCTAGCTTCTTAGTGTTGCGCTTTAATCTGTTATGCCACCAAGGAGGGCCCTAGTTGCAATTCTTAAAGGATCTGGCTTATAATGATTTTTGGAACATACAATCTTAGGAAACTTTTGTTAAATTTTGCCCACTAAAGGGATATTGAAATAAGATATTTTTCATGAAGTATAAAGGGGATTCCTCTGCATTTAAAGAGGATGAAGTTTTCCCATTCTTTTAGAGAAAGCAGATGAAATATTTGACCAAATATAAAGCATATCTCACAACTACTCAAAAAACTCAATGATTCTTATGACTATTAAAGAAATCTAATAACCCAAATGTAAAACCAAAATACATAGCATGTATTATCTGTGACCACTATGCCAAAGGGCTTCTGTACTTTTCACAAGTCTTTAAGAAAGAATCTTTACTTCACCTCTATATTTAGTTACCCAGTTGATTCCATTAGAAAAATAGTATTATTAAATACCTAAAGAGCTGCAAAGAGAAAAGAAGCATGTTTTGTTTTCACATTTTTTTTTAAAGATTTATTTATTTGCACATACAAAACTGGGGTACAGGCCAGAGCCTCAGGGGCTGTGAGAGGCTTCATCAGAGACAGAGTGGGGAACAGAACAGGCAGATCTACGAAGTACGCTGCTGATGGGAGCAGCAGGCGGGTCAGGAGAGGTCTGCCACGCCATGTGGTCACCTCCAGGGCATGCGGAAGTGGCTTTAGCTTCTCAGTGCTGCGCCACTAGGGAGGGCCTGTTTTCACATTTTAAAGGCGTGCTCTTTAGGGGGAAAAGGTATTAGATGAAATTTTTTATTCTCAATGGACTATCAGTTAAGGTCTATGCTTAAATACTATTAAAAAATGAGTCAAGGGCCCTACCTGGTGGCGCAACGTGTTAAAGCACAGTACTAAGAAGCTAAAGCCACTTCAGCACGAGTTCGATGCCCACCCCAGAGGTGCCCCACATGGTGTGGCAGACCTCTCCTGACCTGCTCACTGCTCCCCTCAGCAGTGTACTTTATCAGTCGGCTTTTTCTGCTCCCCACTCTGTCTCTGTTGAATCCTCTCACTGCCCCTGCACCTCTGGCCTGTACCCCAGTTCTGTATGCATAAATAAATAATCTTTAAAAAAAAACTTTAAAAAAAGAACGAAAATACATAAAAGAAATTAATTTTGACATAATTAAGAACTGATTTAGAGAAAATATACAGAAGGTAAGAATACAAGAGTAAAACTAGTAAGATGCTTTAGTGATTGGAAATGGAAACTAGTTCTAAATAATATTTTATAATATAATAATTTATAATAACGGAATACCTCAGGTTTTCAATAAAGAGTGGCTCTGATGAGTAGGAAAATATTGGCAATAAAGAGATAAAACATATTCTAAGATTATATGAAAGAAAAGGCAGCAAGTAAGCTGCAACTTTACTTATACAGCTGAAAAACAGAACATAAATGATGCATTAAAAAGCCTGTGATTATCAACTACAAATCAGAAAGGGAAACAGGTCATTGCTTATATGAGGTAAATAGTTTGTGATGAAGAAGGTAACTGAAAGGAAACAAACCAAATCTACTACTATTCTACCTATTAAATATCTTTATGTGCTTTAACTTGGAATATTATTTATTAGTTATGTCTTTCAGCTTAAGAAAAATCAGTGGAGTTGGGGAAATTTCAAAAAGGGCAACTATAAATTATGATGCGAAGTTACCAAAATCAAATAAAGATAATAAAGAAAAAAGTAAAATCTGTTAAGATATAATCACATGCTTTTATCCAAAGAAATATAGCATAGGGCCCTCCCTGGTGGCGCAGCGGGTTAAAGCACAGCACTAAGAAACTAAAGCCACTTCC